GATAACAGTACCAAGATCATGGTTGAGTTACTATTACACTTGCAAGACCATTCGAACCTTAGATCCCACAGCTGGGGTTTCTTTGATCCACGATGCTGTTTCAGTGAGGGTTGATGGGTTTAACGACTTCGACTACATTAGTGATAGTAGCAGCAACTACAACAACTTATAAATTCCATTCGAACATTTACGTCGTAAATTCTCTCACATTAAAGTTTACACCAGTAGGGTAACGGTTTTCGACCCTGGACCTCGTAATCTGCAGTCCAGTGTACTCGCCGCTGGACTATAGTCAGTTTATGTGTCATGAACAAGACTGATTTTCAGTCAGTTCTGCAATTTTGCGATACGTCAGCAACCCTTTTGTAAAGTTTGAAACAAACGGATGTCATTTAAAAATCGAAAATAAATTGAAAAAATTTTCCCCTCGGGCCGGAAGTCCCCCCCCGGGGGAAAAATTTTTTTTTTTTTTTTTTTTTTTTTTTTTTTTTTTTTTTCCCTTTTTTAAAAAAAAAAAAAAAAAATTTTTTTTTCAAACGGATGTCGTTTGGCGAACAGGATGTGGCCTAAATTTATTACAGTACATACACACAGGAGTCATAAAACCAAAACCACTCACTTAAACAAAATGAGGTTAGCGAATCGACAGCAAGAAAATAATCTTGAAATCAATTTCGCAGCAAAACCAGTCTCGGATAACGGCAAGAACGAAACTCACAATTAACTGACCAATGTTATGGTTTGTTTCCACGGAACGATGATTATTTCGATCAACTCAATTAATAGACAGTTTTCTAAATCATCAATTAAATATTGTCTACTATGCGAAATAATAACAACAATTTTAATAAAACACTTTGTAATGGTTTAAAATGCGTAAGTATTTGTTAAAGTAATATATAACAATTTATTTTAACGAACCGTCGTTTCGAATGCTTCGCATCAGCCGTGGTCATTAAGGACAACGTTGTCCTATTATACGTTTAGTCGGTGGTGATTAGATTTCACGTTTTAAACCGTTTTATTTCAATGTATACTTTTCACGTAAACTACAGACAGTACTTTACTAAAAATAAGTGTTCTATTTAAATAAATTATTAATTCCATTAATTCTGTTTGTTTCCATTGCTATGGTTTTTCCATATTACCTTGACTAAGGCAACTCCACAATTTGGACATGACAGCTGAATCAATCGGTTGATTGATCAATAGGTTAAGTACATCTCGGAATCAGAGATGACATACTTGCAAAAAATTCAGATATTTTCAGATTCTAAGAAAGTTGAGAATTTACTATCTCTAGAGATAAACTATCATGTATGTATACATATACATAATACCAACATTTTGTTCTTTAATTCCGGACAATTCTGGAGTCTTTTTAGGTTCCATAGAGGTATAGTATAATTAAAATTTAATTCTGATTATATACATTCTTTAATAAATATTATAATATTATCTACAATTGTGTCATTCATAACCTCTTTCATTCAACATTCAAAACATAGAGTTGTAAATTACCTTAGAATTAAGACCTTTTTATATGAGTGGGATTAGAACCCATACCGACATAGTCACATATAGCCTAATTGGTGAAGCAACAGTGTTTATTATGATTATCATTTAAAATGTATACAACTAGCATGTAAGAACTACAATAATTTAGTACCTACTACACTACTTTTCTACCTAGCTCTTCATGGGACCACATATGCAAAAAAACTACAAAGAATGGTTAATTATCTTATGCAATTTTAGATAAGATATGCACCATAAAAATGGAAAAGTAACACCCATCAAACAGTTTATCAAATCAAACAATATGTCATTGTGAAAAGAAAACACAAAACATGATAAGATAAGACGGGACCTTGTGCTATCACTATTCAATTTTATTAGCTCTATAAGTTCTATCTCAACTTTAGTAGAGCTAATAAAATTTGAAAGAATCAATATAAAAATGGGGAAATAATATTTTACAAGTTCAGACAAAAACAGAGCAAAAAATTTAAGTATAAACACTTTATAATTTATTTTATAAAACACATCTTTTAAACATACTTAAATCACTTCTATCTCTATCTCTGAACATTAAGTGTAATAAAAATAGATTTATTTTACAAATAATTATTCGATAAGATAAACATACCTACATATGTAATCAACTATTTATAGAACAAAATTGCCAACATAAATATATGTACCATTTTCAAATAAGAGTAAATTTTACCTCAGACTTATTAATAATGGAATGTTTAAAAGGATAAAGTAAAATTCAGACTTGTTTGAGAACCCTAAACAAATTATTATATTCAATTGTTTTCAGGGTCCCACAGCAGAATGTCAATTGGTGATAAGAATAATAGTAACCTTAACAACATAATAATGGCCAACACTTCCTAATGAAATAACATGATTGCTTTGTTATTAAATTAATAATAAGATTAGTGTATTGGTCATAATAATGATCATTACCTCACACTCCAATAACTACAGTTCAATAACAGTTAAATTCATACGTAGATAAACAAACATCGCTTTCTTGATCATATAAGCTAATCCTAATACTACTGGCCAAGTCATGATCATTTCGAAGTAAGCATCTCAAATATTAACTTAGGATCTACTTACGCAGACTTGTGTCATAACTGACAAAAAATTATCACTCTTACATTATTCGACCTAAAAACAGTGCCCGAAACTTTACTAACATTACGATAGAAAACCGTTACGTATTTACGTATCCTATAACCAGTGAAGATACGTCATTACTAAAAGATTTATAGCAAAATCTTAATAAATATTTATTTATAAGGTTACAAAAACATAGCGTTACCTTAAAAAGCCAAAATAAAGGCAGGTTTCAGGAACAAAGTAGGTTGATATGATTATGTAGGCTAGTTAAACACACGATGTCACGTTAGTTTAAATGTTAAATCGGTACTATAAATATAACAACATTATCTCTACAGTAAATTGATTACTTTGGCTAAATCTATCATTAAATAAGGAACGCGAATTCACAACAAATTAGTATCGAACACACGAGTCACAACTCACAACGCAACAAATCTTCAACCGTTTTTCTATTTCTACATTATTTTTGTATGAATATGTCAATGTCTATCTTTAACGCAATAATGTCATAATTACTGTCAATTGTCACTAAAAGAAAATATCAAGTATAAGTAATAATATTAGAACTGAGAAACGCTCAAATGTATTTAATTTAATAAGAGGTAAACAATAATGCGTTTAATTCCTTTAAATAAGTAAAAAGTTTTAATAATCCTATTATTGTCACAGAGGATAAAGATGTTATAATCTTACCTGGTTTTGATATAAGCGCCACCAATTAACAATATTGATTACTATGTTACCAAAAAAATGTCATCGCTTATTGACTTTACTACGAGATGGCGCTATTTTCATAAGCAAGAAATAATAAGTATTTTGATTTCATTTGGGAAATATTTCTTTAAATTAATGAAAATATATACGTTTTAACTTATTTAGATATAAGTGTACTTTCAGTGTCCATTCTTAATGATATATTTATTATTGCTCGTGTTTTCCAATTTGTTCTCTCTACTTACTATCATCTGCCTCACTCTCGTTATTGAGAGTTTAAAATAAACCTTTATTTAATGATTAGTTATAACGAATATATCATTTTTCAAATAAAAGATATAAAATGAACATAGATTTTCATACCAATATTAAATGGTTAAAATAAAACGACCGTATTAACTGAAACATTTTAATTTAAATTTTATATAAATAACACTCGCTCTGTAATGGAAGCCTACTAAGTAATGCCATAAACAACAAAATTATAAAATCACTTTATTTATATTTAATACAATATAATTTACAATGATACGTAATTATAACATAAAAATATTTTATCGTTGCTTAATATCCTGAAGAGCATTGAAGCAATCATTTTCCACCTAAAAGAGAGACGAACTATTTTAAAACTCCATTTAAACTGCAAAAATCACACGTATGCAAGCATAAAGCAAGTTTGGATCATAATATGATGGTAGGAAATCTGAATAGTGTAAGTAAGATCAAATATACAATTATTTTAAGTAAGTACGTAATAGAAAAAATATTATGTAATATTTCTTACTATTCCTTTTGAACCGCAACATTGTAAATATAAGCATTAAATTTATTATTGACAATAAAGTATATAATATATAAATAAATAATAGCAGTTTTATAACCATTGATAAAATTTTCAATAAATATTGTGATTTCTACGATTTATGAATTATCAAACATAAATCAAATAAGATTGTAACATTATTAATATTATTTCAAAACGAACAACATACCATGCAATCACATGCATTAATATTACATTCACAAAAAATCTACGTTATTTTAATTGTAAAGTTTTTGAATAATTTGGCACAGTCTTTTAAAATCGAATTATTTTCTTATCATAGGTTTTATTTTTAATTAAAAGTTATTGTTACTTAGGTATACAGTTTAAAAAAAACAAAATGTATAATAATAGATGAGTAAAATAAAATAACAATAGCATGTGAGAGGGAACCGAATGCATTTATAACTAATATTAATAGTTAGCGTTTTGGAAGGAGCATAATACTGGTAACAAAACATTAAGACAAAAGCAAAATAAGTAACTGTATGATGTATTGTTACCCATATACATTTAGTTTTCGCTCATTATATTATTTATATTGTGATGATATAATATATTTGCCTTAATATAGGATAATAAGTACGATAAATCAGATACACAGTAATTTTAACAATTTAATAATACAATACTTTACAGATGGATAACGCCCATCTATTGAAGTAAATGATGAAATAAAATTACTACTATGTTAGATTAATTTGAAAAGAAGACCGCATTTTATTTAGGTATATTTATTACTTTTAATTTTATGCACAAACGATTACGTGCATCTCTATTGTTGAATTGTAATACATATCATCTTATATCAGCCAAAGTATATGCGTTAAATTATTAGCATAGCTATGATAGTGATCATTGCCAACAGCAAGCCGAGCAGCGTCAGCCAGTCCAAATCTGCCAGTTGTTGGGAGAGCATCAAGGTGTAGGAACAAGCTAACATCAACGTGCCTGAGTTGTGCCAATTGTGCTTTGACTTCGTGTTACCGCCTGTCGGAATAACAAAAACAACAAAACATAAAATAACAACATTGCCATAAAACAACAACGGGATTGTGCAAATGAACGTAAAGTGGACGTGGAAGACCATGATTAATGCAAGACCCAAACAGCGTGCATGACAACAAACCACATACCTTTATCGTCGTTTTGGGAGTTATAGTTTTGCCTTTTAGCTCTCCATGGTACTACATTATCTGGCAGTGATTTACTTTGACTAGCGCTTGTCTCATCAATGGATAAACGTCTTAATTGTTGATTTATTGTGCGAACGAGATTAGGCGAATTTAAGTCAGTCCGATCTTCTTCAACGGAATTCTCGTGATTTTGACTGCAAGGTTTGCTAATTTTCTTATCCTCTAATTTAAAGATGGTGGCTAGTTCTTCTGAAGAGTTATACTCAGTTGAGTCCGGGCCATCTTGGTCTTCTACTTCTGTATTTTTTACATATATAACTGCCTCAGAGCCTTTTTGAGGGAAGTCCATTTTATCTAAGTCATTTGGCTTTTCTGAAATTTTATCGCAACATTCTACTTCCTTATTTACAGATTTTTTAGGACTATTGGAAACAAATAATTTATGATTGACTTCCGATATTCCAGCGATCAAATCAGAAATTCCATCTTTTAACTCTTTGAAGGCTTTCATTTCACTAATTTCATTGACTTTATCACCACAGAATGGATTAGACGGGTGAAATTTTAAAAGATGTAAGTCAGAGTTAGCTCCAATTTTATCGCTTTCTTTAATATCTTCATCAAAGGCGGAGGTGGGCACAACGTCAGGTATTAATAGTTTGTCTTGTGTATTAGTTACTGCGTTTGTTCCAAAGGAATTTTCCGTATCTTCAATGTAGTTAGATAGTCCTAAACTTACAGCATCTTTATTTGTTTCTTTAGTATTATTTTGTTTTAATTGATTTTCGACTTTATGTAACTGATTGGATATTTCTAATAAACTGTCTTCCGTCTTTTTGGCTTTTGAATCGTTAACATCGTTTAAAATAGGTGATGATAATAACTTAAAAGTATTCAAATCATTTAGAGTTGTCATACTTTCCTTTAAGTCTACTGACATTGTCTGATTATTGGGCTCACTTGTGAGTGCATTTAAGAAGTTTTTCCTGCTGTCTGATAGTTTATTATGTGCTTCGATTTCTTCGTTCTTATTTCTATTCTTATCTAATTCAGCTAACGCTACTCCCAGTTTGTTACTCGTGTCCATTGCTTCTTGTGCTAGCATACTAAGCACTTGTTGAAATTCATCTTTAGATGAGCGTTTAGATATTTGAGATGACTTATGTGATGGTGATGATGCCGTGGACTTATCACAAGATGATGATCTAGCGAGGCATTTATTGTCATTGTGAACAAATGAGTCATCTTTTGCAAAGAGATGAGTAGATGAGTGTGCATTATTTGCGAGTAGATTGACAGTATTATGTCGTTGCTTTACCTTGTTACGAGGATAGGAATCGCGGTTATCGTTGTTTTCGAATGTTTCACGTAGTCGCCTCATGACATCGCTGTTACTGTGTGTTTTCTGTAATTTAGGAGACTTGGAAATGTTAATTGCATCGTCAATCTCTTTTTGTATTACTGTAAATATATTAGCTGATAGAGACCTAACAGCACGTTTTTTCTTAATATTACTTGTTGTATCCTTAGTAAATGGATACTCAGCGTAATTATTGTTACCCAACCCATGGTACTCATCGCCACTAAATAGTGCTGAATGTCTATTATCTTTGCGTAAACTGCGATATGCTAAATCATCAGAAACAAGATCGGGTGTCCTTTTTGGTATGAAACGTGACCTTCCTCTATTCTCTGGCGTTGCATGTAAATAATCACTTTGTGGAGCCGGGGATACAGGACCAACAGGTATACCAAAGGGTGGTTGAGGATCAACCGTTCTCAGTCTACTATTTGTCTGTTTAACATTGCGATATACTACATCATCATACACAATATCCGGTTCATTTCTTTCTGAATGTCTATCATCGTCTGAAGCATAAGGAACATAAACAGGGGAAGCCAACATATAACTTATTTGTGCTTGGGAATCTCTATAACTTCCTTTATCTTTATTAGACAATGAATTCATGCGTCGAAAAGCCATATCATCTTGCAATTTGTCAGGCAGTGTAGAACGTCTAGTAATTCGCCTAAGCGGAGTAGATGGTTGGCTTCGAAATTGAATGTCGTTATCATTGCCATTCCAGTCGTTACATTTTTCATTGATTTTTGGAGTCATTAATTCCCTTCTTTCCGCTCTATCCAATAAGTCTTCGTCACCTAGCCCGAGACTGTTGTATATTGCTTCCAATTCATTAAGAGCATCATCAAGGTTAGTAGATTTTCTTCTTTCCGAATTTTCGTCGTCAGATGGAGCTTGTTGAGTATTAGAAATAAATGTGTCAGATTTATGTCTACTGTGGGTTTTGGTAACAGGTGATGTTTTTGGAGGCTCTACCGTGATGGAACGTTTGTATTCCGTCGTGGCTTTCCACATAGCTGAAGGCGACTTGATCACATTTGGAGTAACATTAGTTTTATTCTCATTTCGCTTATGAACGTCCTGTTTATCTTTGTTTACTTGCGATGGTCGTGAATATTCACTTTTAGCTCTTTCCGTCGAAAATACTTGATGTTTCCTTTGTATTTCTGCAGTATCAATTTTCTTCCAAAATTCTGACGCATTACGAGGCCTTCTATATGCTTGATCTATTAAATTAGACGTTTGCGAATCACTTAAATATTGATTTTCTATTCCGTTATGACTAGTTTGAATGCTAATAGGTCGCCTAGACCTCGGACTTTGATCGGCGTAATACAAATAATCTTGTTTTAGTTGTATCGCTTCAGGTTTCATAATATTATTATGATCTCTTCGATGTTTCCACGATGAACTATTCATATACATTCCATAATGATTAGGCTCTGCAGAAACTGAAGCAGGTCGTCTTGGTTGCTCATGTTTATATTCATAATTTTGTATTAAGTCACTATTTTGCATTGCGATATGATCTTCTGAATTCGATAAAGGTCGCCTAAATGCTGTCCCTACCGATCTTTCTTGGCTCCGGCGCATAATCCTATCAAAATCATTGTTATGTACACCATGTAATACGTTCTGCTTTATTTTCGACTTATTCAGATTTGTCGAATTATTCTCATAATACATAGATATAGGAGTCACTACCTTTCGTTGCATGTCACGTGGGGGAGGAATGGGAGGAGACTTTTCGTCCGGTTTAATAATATCTACATTCCCCAGAGGAAATTTCACGCACATAATATTATCAGGGTTATCGTACTGATTTGACGGAGTTCTGACCCTGTTACTATGAGCGTAAGGCAAGTCGCGATGCAAGTTGTTATTTGAAGCATACTGAATGGAATAGTTGATTTGCTCATTGTTAACTTTTGCGTTAAAATTAATTGAAGATGGATAGCTCTGAGTCGATGGAAATGATGATATCGATTCGGATTTCATTGCTCGTCGACTTAAATCATTTGAAATAATATTATGTTCTACTACTAAGTTATTGATTGGTTCTCGTTTACATGTTCCATAACCACTACTTTGGCTTGTTGGGGTACGAGTTAACATTTCAACTTCAGCCTTCGAATATCCTTGTTGAAGTAATTCAGCTTCTTTGTTAAGTTGATTTTCTTCGTCTCGAGATAGCCTCTTAATATATCTTTCATTTCGAGCACTTCTTGATCGTTTATTTAGTGAACTATCTCTAGAACGCATTAACGAATCGTCGCTTCTAAAGCGAACCATTGAAGAAGAGTTTGACGATTTCAGGGATTCTTCGTCACTACTCGAGTCTCCTTTTAGGCTATTTCGCAGTGCCTCGACTCTTGCTTTCAGTCTGCTTTTCCTCGTTCTTTTAGGAGGATGGTCCAGGAGAATTTTCTCGGATTTTACTTTATCATCAGCCCTTACTACAATATAGTCTTGGTAATCTTCATTCATATCACGGCTTCTCGGCTGGTAATTTAAAAAGCCGGCAGAAGGGTCAGATAAGATTCCATCATCAATAACATCTCGGACACTGTTGTTCGCTAAGCTTTGAGCTCTTCTAGTGTCTCTTATAACGATATGGTCGAAGTTATTGACAGCGGGGGCTCTTTTCTTTTTCTTGCTTTTTCTCTTAGACGACGAACGTTCGCTAACACCTTCATCACTTTGTGATGACGTGCCACTTTCCTCCTCCTTTTTCTTCCTTCTAAAGAGTTTACCAATCGACCATTTCTTTTCTTTCTTATTTCGTTCCGCTTCGACTTCTCCATGTGTTCTATCGATTTGGCGTTGGACGGCATAGTCTTCGTTGTATGGACGATACGATGTTGCTGCTACCCCGGCAAGATCTCGATGTGGTGGTGAATTAACAGTCTGAAATTGAAACACATTTAATTAGAAAATTAAAAACCATTTTTAGTCTAAATACGTTCAATAACTGAATGGAAACCCCATGACTAAATGAACAGACAATATCGCCTTGCAGTCTGGTATTGAAGACAAGCAAACAAGGACAGCGATTTGGCATCTGTTCAACGTTTGCGGGCGTATTTTTTCGTTTGTTTACAGATAATGAAGTAAGGAAACGTTTAACGTTCATTATCATTTTAAAAGGTCGTAAGTTCAAAGTCGTCTTGCATAACATTCACAGATAAAACCCACCCCATTTCTTATAAGATTAATCGTATTATTTTGATTTGATTACAAGAATGGCCAACTTTTTCTATGTATAAAAAAAATGTTTTCAGGAATAATGGTACTAGTATTTTTAATCAGTCAATCTCAGTTTCGTATTGACTACATTTTGTAGAATCTTCGAGTCTTCTAATACTTTATAAAAAATATAAGCAATTAATATCTAGTGGCTCTTTTAGGTTAGATAAAACCTTATTATTTTATAAGGATACACTTCTAAGTATACATTGTTGATAAGAACCATCAATCAAGCAATATTACTAACTGTAACACCAAATTGTATAACTTACGGGCAGAAATGATAAGAAATAGTCATTGTTAGGTCTCTCTGTAACAAGCATAATAGACAAGCCGTTGAGCTGAGCACTTATTTGAAGAACATACACAAATACACTATAGGTACACCCACATCTCGAATTGGCGCGAACGCGACAAACACAAATATTTTATCAACGCATCATATCTGTATTTTTATAACCGTCCCTACCTAGAAAAATATTCGAGTTATTTTAATATCACTCGCTCTATAAATAGCAGAAAATATATTAACTTAAACAATATTGGCAACACGGCCATATTAAAATAAAACGAATAAAACGCGAGACATATAAGTTAACTTATGCTTTACAGCAGCCGTAGTCACGGAGAGAGGCTTGTTTTATTTAAATGTGTACCACTCGCGTACACTATAGACAATACTTAAAACTACTATTTTAAACGTTTTTCACCATTACGTTAAAATGTTTAAAAAATACAGCAGACGTCTGCTCGCGTCGGACTTCGCGGGAATTGTGTTTATTTTAACTTTCATATAATCACGCGACATCGCACGTAGATATTTTTAAACAAATATAATTTAATAGGTATTCGTGAAATACGCAACTTTTTTTCATTCATTTATTTTTGTTTCTTTATCTATTTTATATTTGCCTGGCATGAAAACAGAGTAGCGGTTTGTTTATGCCACGGATCACTCGTTAAAATAAAACTTTATATTTAAAATAAGTGCTACTATAGGATCTAAATTAACTAACTAAAAACAGTGCGTGCAAACAGTTGGAAACAGTGGCCGTAGCCAAGTTCGCAGTTACAAAACGATGACAAAATTAGAGAAAATGAAATTGGGGATTGTTCTGATTTAGAGATCATATTTTTTTATTGTAAACGCAGAAAATTACAGATTATAGTTATACATATGTTTGTGAGACGACACTCTTTGAGTCAAATGATAATAACATAATTAAAATTTCACGAATCTCTTAACTATCTGCTTTATTAGAGAATAAACAAGGTTTATATTTAATTTAAATCGAACAGAGCTGTTCTGTTGTTTTATTTGAGATAATCGGTCTTTAAATTCAATTAAAATCTCGAAACACAGCAAAGAATTAACCGCTTGGTTCGTGTATAAATCACCTTTTTGTCTGCGCGTGATTTAATGCGCTAAGGAGGTGCTTATTTAGAATAAGTATTTTATTAATAGCAACGCGTATCTAAGATACATTGATTAATGCATGTTCTTAGAGAAAAGATTTGTCTTGCAATTTGGTTCAACAATAAAATTGCATTGTTTTTTAGGAAGGCGTATATAATATTGAATATAAATGTTTTAATTTCACAATAGATACATTAATTAAACAAGGTAGAGGTTCTGTTGAACGAAATGTTTGTTTCAGTTGTCTTTGTTGTCCGGCTTTGGTAAGAAAATCGGTTTGTCCAATACACGAAATTCTAATTTCCTAGTCTCTACAATCAAAATTCTTACATATATTCTTCACTAATATATAAAGCTGAAGAGTTTGTTTATTTGTCAACGGGTCGTGGGTTAGACCCCCACCGCGTCCTTATTTATTGTAAACACGAATATCTGTATTCCGTCCGAGTAACCACCCGATGAAAAAGCAGTCAAGTTTAATCGCGTTTCGGTTTGAGTCTGTGGATTTCCGAATATCCAAAGCCACAATAGGTCGAGAGCGCAACTTAGATGTTACATGACATTCACCTTCCAACGAGTGAACTCCTCCTTATCTGTCTTCCTCCATCTAAAGAGCACGAAATTATAATGCTACACACATCTCGAGATAGTAAAACTCGCTTCCTGTATTCTGGCAGTCCATTTAACATCGTCTTGTCACTTTAACAAAATCTAAAACGATTCTGAACATGACATGCGTTTTATAAATAACCACGAGTGACCTATTTAATTTTCCGTTGATAATTTTAGATATTTTTATTATAAAGATTGAATGGAAGTGAATGAATGAATTTCCTTTGATAGAACTAGCCTTTATTGAAGCCTAGGACACTAGATACTATTCAAATTAAACTCTTTAACGGTTTAAAACGCTATTTATATACGTGTGTGTCGTGTTAACGGAGACACGGCTGCTTCAAAGGACCCTAACGTCGGGCCATAGTTAAAATAATTTTCAAATAAGTTTAACTAATACAAATCGCGTTTTAAACCGTTATAGTATTTTATTTAAATGTGTACTACTCGCGTAAACTATAGACAGTATTTAAAACGAAACTTAAAATAACATAATGGATTAATTTTATGTACGATAATTTAGTACCTAATGTGAGAAACTATGGCATATATGTCAAATCAACTCTAATTTTTCAAGCTATTGTTTTGGATTTACAACTTACATAAGTTAATTGTGTTTAACACTATCTAGATATAGTATACTCGTAGATAATTTACGGATACTTTGCAGCAGCCGTGGTCACGGGGAGACTACAACACAAATGAGACAAATAAGTTTAACTAATATATCGCGTTTTAAACCGTTAAAGTGTTTTATTTAAAATTCGTTTTCTCTAAAAATATTTACTTAACTTCATTGTAACTTAAACTTAACGAACAAAATAAATAGCCAATAGTTAGTATGTTACATCCGTTTATATACAAAATGTGTTAAAGCGCGCTTTATTAAGATGACTTATTTCGACTGCTGTCATTCTTAACGATGTGTATCCGGTGTGGACACCGCCTAATGTATTTTCATACTCAAACAAAAACTATAGGGACGTAACTTAGCATGAACAAAAGCGCAATAAACAGATGTAGATAAAACTATTTTTAAAAGTAATTTAGTGATAAAAACAAATTTATATATGTGTTTAAATGATTTGAAAATTAATTATCGAATAAAACTTAACTAATAGTTATATTTTAACGATATATATTAGTTACACTAGCGTTTTAAACCTTAATGTTTTATTTAAATATGTACTACTCGTGTAAATCAGACAGTATTTGTAAATTATTTCCAAGTGTTTCTGCCTTTTTAAATACAACACTATTGACGGATTATAACGCAAAACATATTAGTACATTTATTTTTAATTTATTTTAACTACGGCCTGACGTTTCAGATGCTTTGCGGCAACCACTCCCAATGACCACGGCTGCTGTTTAAATTAACTAATATATTTCGTGTTTCGAACCGTTAAAATAAGCTACAGACAATTCTCAGTTGTTACCTATGTTAAGAGTACTTATTACAAATACAGGGCATACGCTTGCTCAATAAATTATACGCGTTAACGCTATAGAATTAGCATTAAAAGTAATAATTTTTGGTTTAATGATGCCACCATGCAAATACAAAGTGCACAAATTGATATATTACCTATAATGGAGCAATAAATTCAATATTTAGGGTATTGGGTTGGGACCGTTATCTCCAACGTAGCCAACGTATAAACCAAAACCAACTCCTTATAGAAAGGTCCCCTTTAAACCCTTTTTTTTTTTTTTTTTCCTTTTTTTTCCCCCCCCTTTTTTTTTTTTTTTTTGTTTTTTTTTTTTTGGGGCCCCCCCCCCCGGGGGGGGCCCCAACCCCCCCACCCGGGGGGGGGGGTTTTATTTTTTTTTTTTTTTTTTTTTTTTTTTTTTTTCTGTTTTTTTTCCCCTTATTTAAGTGAATATTATTTGCGTATATAGAAAGGTACCCTTGAAAACACTTTATATACTTATTAAAGAACTTTTAAATATGTATATGCAACCAGCTTTTGACGTCAGAGACATCTCATTTTTAACTCCGTTATATGGCTTGCTGCAAAGCATCCAAAACGTCGGGCCGAAGTTAAAATCATTTTCAAATAAGTTTAACTACTATATCGCGTTTTAAACCGTTAAAGTGTTTTATTTAAATGTGTACTACTCGCGTAAACTAAGTATACACAGTATTTGGTTGTGTCCATAAGCATTTTATCCCAATTAAGTGGGAAATGCTGTATGTATCTAAGAGATGATTAGAAGAAACATCAATCACATCCAGCGGCAGTTTTCTAGAAAATAGACGCCCTAAATATCAGTTACCCAATATTTCATAGTAAGTACACCTTAAAGTCATTGATCATATTATGACATTTGCTTGGCTTTTCGCAACCATTAAAGATTTGGAAGCTTAGCTATTGGGTGGATTACCAATAATGATGCTTAAATTTTAAGATCCCATTTATCTATACTAATGTAGCATAAGACAATATATACAACCACTCGTTGCAATGATTTTCTTTAAAGGTATGTGATCTACCTATGCTAAAACAATTATATTTTACTAGGAGACCTCCAATCTAAAAGAATATTTGAGACGGGATCGTTGGTGTAGTGGCTAATAATCAAGGTCGCGAGTTCACTCCTCATCGGGTCTGATATTTGTTTTAAT